TCCATGCAAACAATGATCTTTGCTATTGAAGAAATTAACAACAGGACAGATCTACTTCCTGGCCTACATCTGGGTTATAAAATATATGGTACATGTGGTTCAATATCATTGACTTTAAGAGCAGTCATGGCTTTGATGAATGGAAATGAAGAAACTCTATCTGACACCTCCTGCTCCAGACCAGCTGCAGTTCAAGTGGTAATAGGAGCATCTGCATCATCACCCACGATTGCAATGTCAGCAACACTTGGACCTTTTCGAATCCCTGTGGTAAGAAAATCTAAAGTTTAACATTTACTTAAAATAAAGCTCTTAGTGTAATTTTAATGGACAGTCACAGTTCTGTAAACAAGGAAATAATAACTGAATATTGCTGAAATTTAAATTTACAGTTTTACTGCATCTTAGATATGCCCTACTGTATATGTCATCAATTTCATTAGGAAATTGCTGAAACCAAGCGTAACAACAAAGAAACCTAGACAAGTAATACAGTCCATATTAAAACAACATTGCTTTATGTCATGTACAGATCAGTCATTTCGCTACCTGCGCATGTCTGAGCAATAGAAGAAGATATCCAACATTCTTCAGGACCATCCCCAGTGACTATTATCAGAGCAGAGCCCTGGCTCAGCTTGTGAAGCATTTTGGATGGACCTGGGTTGGGACTATTAGAAGTGACAATGATTATGGCCACAATGGAATGGCTACTTTTGTGGAAGCTGCAGAGAAGGAGGGGATCTGTATTGAATATTCAGAGGTGGTTCATCAGTCTCATTCCAGACAAAAAATTCTTAAGAACATAGAAGTTATCAAAAAGAGCACTTCAAAGGTTATCGTAGCATTTCTTGAGGAAGGAGACATAAATGCTTTAATAAAAGAATTATCATTTCAGAATGTAACTGGTCTCCAATGGGTTGGCAGTGAAGGCTGGATTACAGCCAGTGATGTTGCCACAGCAGAAGGCTATAAGGTTCTAAGTGGATCCATTGGATTTACTGTTGTTAAAAGTGAAATAGATGGATTAAGAGAGTTTTTAATGAGTGTCCACCCACCTCAGGGCCCAGGCAGCTCCCTCTTAAATGAGTTTTGGGAAACTTCATTTAACTGTTCGTTCTCAAATAGAGACAAAGAGAAAAAAGCTTGCACAGGGTTGGAAGACCTACAAGAACTAAAGAATGGATATGCAGATGAATCTGAACTAAGAATATCTAATAATGTGTATAAAGCAGTATATGCTGTTGCACATGCTGTACATAACTTGCTTCAATGCAAGAAAGATCAAGGTCCTTCTGCCAATTATACATGCAAAAAAACAAGCAATGCTGAACCATGGCAGGTAATGTAATATTCATATCATTGAAAATATCAAAGTATACTTATTACCGAGGTATAAAAGAATGTCATTATATCAATATTTTCATTTGCACAGGTGCTTGAGCATCTCAACAATGTCAGTTTCACAACCAAACAAGGAGAGACAGTCTTCTTTGACAAAAATGGGGATTCAACTGCAAGATATGAATTAGTAAACTGGCAACTTGATCATAAAAGTGCTATACGGTTTATGACAGTTGGTTATTATGATGCTTCGAAGCCAGCAGGTCATCAGTTTGCCATAAATAAACTCAATATTATTTGGACAGGTGGTCAGCAAGAGGTAAGCAGTGAACAACAAAAAGTTTTTGATAAAAGTCTGATAGAATACTATTCACTGCTGATCTGTATTTTCCTTTGGCTGAGTCAGCGTGGCGTGAAAGCTGTCCTCCATGCGTGGGAAAGGAACTTCAGAGAGGAAAACATATTTTCTTAAAATAATAATAATTTAGAGATGGGATGTCAGATGTTATAGCAGTCTTATGTTTCTGTTTATGCTTTTTAGTGACTGCATATTAACAAAAAGGACCCCTGCTCTGCAATGTATCTTAGTTAATTAAGTGATGTAAAAATTATCAATTTTTGTTGGAATAAAAAAGCAGATATCTTCCACTAACGAATTCTACAATTAAATAGTCCTGGCTCTGTATTTACAATAAAATGTATATAAATCTGTGGAAAACCGAATGATTAGGTGGCTTTAAAAACATTCATTTCATATACAGTATAAATTCAACATTTTCATTTCCAAGATCACACCAATTCAGAATAAAAAGTATTAATATTAATCGTTTGTCTTTTCAGCACACTTAATATGATGAAGTTCATTTCCTAGTCTTTTATGTGAAAGATTGTAAATGCTTTTTTTGCAGAAGCCCAAGTCCGTGTGCAGTGAGAGCTGTCTCCCAGGCACTCGAAAGGCAGTTCAGAGAGGAAGGCCTGTGTGTTGCTATGATTGCATTCAGTGTGCTGGAGGAGAGATCAGCAACACTACAGGTAAATGTTAGTGCATTCAAATTGATATTGCAAATTCCTTACTCTACTTCTTATTATCTTCAGTGACTCATATACAATACCATAAAGAGAAAAGCATACCATTTTTACAATGAATCACAAAATCAAATAATAAATTATTAATAAAAGTATTCTGACATCAAGAATAATGAACAAAATATACACATACATATGACAAAATAAATATTCAAATATTTATCTGTAACAACAAAACATTTTCAGCTATAACACTGATCTGTATATCTCTAAAAATGTTTTTCTTTACAGATTCTAATGATTGTGTCCAGTGTCCATTGGATTATTGGTCAAATGAGAAAAAAGATGAATGTGTGTTAAAAATAGTGGAATTCCTGTCCTTTGGAGAAATCATGGGGATACTGCTCATGATATTTTCAATGTTTGGAGCGTGTTTAACTATAGGTGTAGCTTTTATCTTCTTCAGAAACAAGGACACTCCTATTGTTAAAGCCAATAACTCTGAAATGAGTTTCCTTCTGCTCTTTTCATTGACTCTGTGTTTCCTCTGTTCACTTACTTTCATTGGCCAGCCCTCTGACTGGTCCTGTATGTTGCGCCA